TTAAGGCCAGGAGTAGGCCAACATTTTCTGTAAAGGCCAGGTAGTAAATATTTTAGACTTTGCTTTCTCTGTGGCAAATACTGAACTCTGTCATTATAGAGCAAAAGTGATCATAGACAATATATAAATGAAAGAGCTTGAGTGTATTTCAGTGAAACTTTATTGCTAAAATACTTTATAGACACTGAAATTCAAACTTCATATAGTTTTCACTTGTCATAGAATATTATTCTTTTGATTTTTCAACCACATAAAACTGTAAAAACCCCTTTTAGCTCATGGGCAGTACAAAAACAGTCAGTGGGCCAGATGTGGCCTACGGGCCATAGTTTTCAGACCGCTTGTGTGGTTGGTTCTCAGGTATGACAAAAGCTGTTAAGGTAATCTGAGATTGACTGAAGTTGAAGAAGTGGATTATTAAGGTATTAAAGAGAATACAGTTCACTGAGGCCAGTTTTCTAGCAAGAATAGGATGGGCCAGTGTACTTCTCTAGGCTGGGGTTGGCCAGGAGAGAGCAAGAAAGAGCTGGACAATAGCAGAACAGATATGTGCAGCAAAGTTTTCTTTTTAATGGATGATTCTTTGTCTTTGTATATTTAGGTGTTTATAAAATTTTATAAAATGGACAACAGCTTATAACCAGAAAAACAGCAAAAGTCCATTATGAGCACAATATTTATTTATTATTATTATTATTATTATTATTATTATTATTATTATTATTATTATTTTTTGATGGATGATTCTTTGTCTTTGTATATTTAGGTGTTTATAAAATTTTATAAAATGGACAACAGTTTATAACCAGAAAAACAGCAAAAGTCCATTATGAGCACAATATTTATTTATTATTATTATTATTATTATTATTATTATTATTTTTTGGTCCTTTTTTGAGACCGGCCGCACTGCGCTCAGCCAGTGAGCGCACCGGTCATCCCTATATAGGATCCAAAACCGCGGCGGGAACGCTGCTGCGCTCCCAGCCCGCACTCTCCCGAGTGCGCCACGGGCTCGGCCCTGAGCACAATATTTATAAGAAGGCAGATTTATGTACCTTTTATACACCTGACAAAAGTGTTAAGAAAGCTGATTAAAATTCTGTTTTACAGAGTTTGGTAGCCAGAGAAGAGACACAATTAACCTTCTTGAAACCTAACCTTTGTTCTGTGATGGGGGGCAATGATAATTACTTTAAAATCACAGGGTTAAGAGCTTTGCCTTGCCTATTTTTTCAGAGTATTTGCTCAAATTGACCTTGAAACTAGCCCTTTACAGCCTGAATTAGGCTGCTGTACCTGTCTTGGGCACACATGTGTATGTATGTATTTTGCTCTGGTAGGTGTTTCTCTTTCCTGTCTTCACACAGAAATGGGAGGCTAGGGAATGGGGCAGTGACTTGACAGTCTTCTGCCCCTGTGTCAAACCGTATTGGTGATACCTCACTTTCTAGTCAGGGAAAAGCAAAAGGTACTGGGTTAGAAAATCAGCCTATACCTTTAAATTTGTTCTCTAGGTGTCTCGTGGGATGAAGCTCTCTTGTCTAATGTTTGTCTCAGGGATAATAGAACATATGCTACAAGCAAAATATGTAACTGACAAAATTCATTAGTCAGCAAAGAAGAAGGTGAAGGTGTTGTAACTAATAGGTATCAGCTCAAGAAATAGTTTAAGGAAGACACTTTCTAAGTTGTCTTACGTAGAGTGTTACAGTACTGAGAGTAAAGATGCAGATAAAACAATTTTCAACTTGTGAATTCAGAAAAATTCTAGCAAGATGATGTTTGCTAAAATGAGGATTATAAAAACATTTCAACTGCTTAGCTGCTTTCCTGGAAATGTAATCAGCACTCTTTAGAAAGAAAGCATTCTTACATCTTGTTCAGCAATGTTGACTGAGTAGCTACTGTGTGTTCCACACTGTGCAAGGTGATGGGAACGCACCAGTGAACGAGAATAGGATGCCTGGCCACACAGAGCTTACATTCTGCTAGGGAAGACAATCAACAAGTGAGTGAAAGGTACATACCTCATACAAGTTTAGGAAGTGAGAAGTTCTGGGAGAAGAATAAGGCAGGGTAAGGAGGAGAGAGTCTGAGTCAGGATTAGCAGTTCCCTGCTGTTTTATGTCGCGGGTCTCTGAGAAAGTGACATATTTCAACACAGACCTGAGTCTGTGCTTGTAGATCTATGGGAAAAGTGTTCTAAGCAGAGGGAAAAAGCAAAATTCAAAGGACCCATGGTGGGAACAGGCTTCATGTGTTTTGAAAGCAATAAGATCCATATGCACAGAGTAAAGTGGGGAAGAGGGGTAAAGATAGGAAGTGAGTTCAGAGAGGGAGGTGTAGGGCCTTACAGGCCAAGGAAAGAAATTTG